TTGTTGTCTGAGAACCTGATTCAATTAAGTTCATGTATTTAATGTGACAAAAATGTCCTATTTTGGACATGGTTTACAGTAAGACAAGGCACAGATGGCCAGTTGTGGTTTGTGGGGCTTTTATTTATTTATTTAGCTACAAAACTATCCAAGAAAAACGTAGAAGCCTCCCAGGGCCTCTTCCATGTCATGAAAAACTTGGGTGCCACTTTCCAGATGTAAGCAGCCAGCTGTTACTCTGGCAAGAAAAGGTTTTCCGTTTGTTTGTTTTGTCTTTTTGTGTTTTTTATTTTAGAGAAAATATCATAGATAGAGACATGTGATATTTCAAAACCATAACCTCCAAGTCAGAAAAAAATTATGGCCAAATTAGGTTAGGTTAATATTGACAATGAAGAGTGCTAGGAAATCCTACAAAGAGGGAATGTATGTATCAGAAACTAGCAAATGTTGGAGAGTTCTGATTAACTTGGCAGGAATTCAAGGCTGCTCAAATCTGCTTTATTTATTTATTAATAGTTCTTGCCTTTCACATTTTGTCTTGTTAAGTTACTATAAACTACTGTCCTGTAGTCCTAGCCAGTTTTGCTCAGCAGATAGAGCATCCATCAGCAGTGGCAGGGCACCCTGACATTCTGCTCTGACCCCCTCGCCAAAATGTCCTGGGTTCGATTCTGGTCATGGGAAGGTATCTGAGTTACAGGCTCCTCTTTGGCCCAGTTTGTCCTTGAATATATATGGCTTCTCCTGGTCAGGCATGTGCAGGAAGCAATCAATCGATGTGTTCCTCTCACATAGATGTTTCTCTCTTTCTCTCCCTCTCTCTTCTGCTCTCCCTAAAAATCAATGGGAAAATATCTTTGGGTGAGAATTAACAAAAAATAAACTACAGTAATATAGTTTTGTATTGGATGGTATCATGGTATATAAGGAGCCTGAGGGAAAGTGGTGAGTTCATTTTGTTTAATATAAGAAGGAAAGACTTACTGCTCCAACTTCACTCTTTTTTAGTTGATATTAGAAAACAAAACAAAACAAAACAAAACAAAACTTAGCTTTGAGGTTCAACAAGCTTGGTTTCAGCCCCAGCCACAACTGGGGAACTTGGTCATGTGACTTCACTGATCTCATCCTTGGGTTTTCCTTTTCATCTGTAAAATTTAAAGATGTTGATGTAAGCATCACAGAGTAGTGTACTTTGAATGACAGGACTTATCTGTTGAATGGATGACTGAATTATTCTATCTAATAAAAAGAGTAATATGCAAATTTATTATCACTCCAACACACAAGATGGTTGCCCCATGTGAACACAAGATGGCCACTACAAGATGGCCAACACAGAGGGCAATGGGAGGGACCAGGCCTGCAAGGGAGAGCAGTTGGGGGCAATCAAGCCTGCAGGGGAGGGCAGTTAGGGGTGACCAGGTAGGCAGAGGAGGGAAGTTGGGGGTGACAGGACCTGCAGGGAAGGGCAGTTGGAGGGGGAGGAGATCAGGTCTGCAGGGGATAGCAGTTGCAGGGGACCAGGCCAGCAGGGAAGGGCAGTTAGGGGCAATCAGGCTGATAAAAGAGAGTTAGGCATCAATCAGGCTGGCAGGGAACTGGTTAGGGGCAATCAGGCAAGCAGTTGGGAGCAAGCTGTTTTGGATTGTGAGAGGTATGCCCAACTGCCCATTTAGGCCCAATCTTACCGGAATCAGGCCTAAACGGGCAGTCAGATATCCTCTAAGGGTCCCAGGTTGGAGAGGGTGCAGGCTGAGCTGAGGGACAACCCCTCCCCATGCACAAATTTCATCCACCAGGCCTCTAGTTTTATAATAATAGGCTTTATTAAATGTTTCTATAAGATTTCGTGGATATTATGTTAAAACTAGGGGCCTGATGCATGAAGATTCATGCAATAATAGGCCCTCCTTCCCTTGACTGCCGTCACCAGGTTCTCTCTGGTACCCAGGACCCAGGCCTTCCCTCTGGCTGCTGCCTTCACTCTGGGGCTGGGAGCCACCTCCCACCTTTGGTCTGGGCTGGCTGCTGCCATCTTTGTCATGTTAATTTGCATATTCCCTTCTTATTGGCTGTGGGTGCTGCCATTTTGTTGCAAAGTGACAGTCAATTTGCATATTCCATCTTTATTAGATAGGATCCTAACTGAGACCTAATTTTAAACTAAGAAATCTAATTTACAACTAAAAAAACCAAACAATGTAAATGTGGCCTAGTTTAATGAATAAATGCCCAAATAACATTTTTGAAAGGATGTTTTAGGATACAAAATATAAGTCCATATTCAAGTACAAGAACATTTAGGATTGTATTATTTTATTTAGCAAAACATTATGTAGAGCTTGTGGTTTCCCAGACATTGTCCCAAGCTCGCCTGCTCCTAATTCTGTGGCCTCATGGCCAAAATTCATATGATCTTTGATAATAAGAAAAAACCAGACTCAACTGGTCTGAAGCTGCCTGCCCCTGCTTGAACCAAACGCCATGAGGCAGGGTTGAATCCTATCTGAGTGTTTATTCCAGTCCTGCCAGCAGCACAGGGAGCGGCAGGGCACCCTGACATTCTGCTCTGACCCCCTCGCCAGCGGCTGGTCACACACGAGGGGAGACAGGGAAAGGCAGGGGGTCCGCAGGCGGCCTCCGGAAGTCAGAGTCCAATAACCGGGCGCTGACCTGTGTTGTTACAGACTGTACCCATAGCTCAGCCCGCACTACCCTGAGGACAGCCAGTGTCCTGAGGTAACCCCCCAGAGGGGTCAGGGTCTGGGCACAGCCAGCAAATGAGAGCATGCCCTGCCCTGTGTCTGCTCTCTGAGTCTTGGACGCATGGAGGCATCTAATCTCTTTACAGCCTTGTTCCCTCCTCCAGGGCCCCGGGGTCTGTGAGAAAACTTCCCATCTGTGGTCAGTGGGTGAGTAATTGTTAGACAGCTACGGCTCTCTTCCTGTTAGTGCCCCTCACAGGATTAAGAACTTTGAAAACACACTTGAGATTAACAATGAGTGGACATAATTCCCCAAATTTATGCCAAACATCTCATCTTCGGTCTTCCAGTAATGACAGGAATGTCTTTTCCATCCGAGAACATGACTGGTCCACAATCTGATCAGCTCTGTGCAGGCAGGCGGGGCTGGGCGGTGAGGGCAAGGTGGCGGTCCACTCTGGAACCTGTGTGGACTCCCCTGGGCAGCGTCCGCTCCTCTCCTTCCTTACCTGGTGGCATGAAGACTGGTGATTAGGCACCTCGCCTTTGGAGCCAGCTGGCTTGGGTTCAAGCTCTGCTCTACCCCTTCGATGCGTGTGACTCAGACAGTGGCTAGGCCGCTCTGTGCCTGAGCGTCCTTCTCTGTAAATTGTGATACTAATAACAGCACCCGCCTCGTTAGGTGAGAATGGAGTCACTGAGAACTGTGTCTGGCATAGAGAGATTTCTAGGAAAAGCTTAGCTGCTGTCATTCTTAATAACACTGTGCTGGTCTGGAATTAGTCCCCGGCTCCTTCTGGGAAGAGTTTCAAAATTAAGTTGCATTTACTAAGTAGAGACATACCAGCTATGCAGAGCTGAAATTTGTTTCACAGGAGCCCAAGGATTATGTCTTCCTGCCCTGCCCTTGAGGCAGCCTTAGAGAACCCCTTTTCCGTCAGAACTGACAGCCCAGCAGGAGCTTAGATCTAAGGAGCTGGAGACTGTTTGGGATGAGATTGCATCACATTCTGAACCATAAACAAGCGCTCCCAGGCTCTCTCCAGGGCCTGCCTGCTTCTCACGGCTTGTCCTGCGTTGCTTTTGAAACTCTCATCTGCCCCCACTGGCTGAACCAGAGCATCCAGGACTCTGGGAGGACTGGGTCAAGGCTCCAGCACTTGAAGTTTATTCGGATAAAGTTTATTATTGAAGGGTAATAATGCCAGGGTGATAAATGGCAAGCATTTTCTAGTTTGAAAACCTGACCCTAAAACAGAGGGAGGCATTTTGATGACTTCCTTCCTGAAGGAATGTTGTCCTTAGGCTTAAATATTTGTGTACCAAGATTAGGAATTCCTGGTACATGATGCACCGGTATTTTTGAATGTCACGAATTTTGTCACAGAATCAACGTTGAGGGTGGGTGGGGTGGTGGGCGGGTGGTGCTGGCCTGAAGATGTCTGAGCAGTGCCCTGGGATAAGAGTGGCACGTACGGAGCCACAGGGAGCAGCGCGCAGCAGCACCCTGAGCGGTCCTCCAGGTGGGTGAGCACAGCACTTACCGAAAGCTGTGCCGAAAGCTTTCCTACTCACTGAGTGAAAAGTATCACTGACCTGTGTTTAGAGGAAGAGTGCTTTCTTAAAAGTTGTGTTTATTCTTATATTTGTCAAATTCGATGTTGGTTCCCTCCCTCCCCTGACTTTTAAAGAAAAGATTCTTTTGCTACAGGAAACCAGGAGAGTGTGTCATCGCCTTTCACAGCCTTTCTGGGACCTGTGGAAAACCTCCGGAGTCCTGGGGACGAGCCTGCTGGGGTGCGGGCAGTTTCTGGGCAGCTGCTGGGTGGCGCTTTGCCCTGGCTCTGCCACACGCCCGGCGCGTTCTGCGGATGTGCGTGTGCCTGTGTGCGCTGTGCACACAGCTGCAGCCTGTACAGATGGTAGTAATTTTATATTAGCATCAACAATATTGTGCTTTTCAGGGTTTGTCACGTTTTAGGGTCTTAATTTCTTCAATAATATAAGTTCATTTTCTTTTCTTTTAACTTAGCTTCTTTCAGTCTGTTGTCATCAGACAGGGAAGTAGCGCGGAAACACCTGGGTGTCATCAGCAAGGAGAAGTCCTGGTGTAAATATCTTACAAGTGGCTTGTATGATTTGTTTCAGGGAGAAACTGACCACTCTTTCCAGGGATAAGCCCTAGGAGCACCGTCCGCCTCCTGGGAGCCGTCACCGCATAAGCCAGGGATTCAACTGGAATCATCGCAACCATCCGTGCGCAACGCTGCTCCAGCTGATAAGCCAAAAATGAGACTCCGGGACCTGGCGATTCTAACAGTTCTGATCCATGTCACAATGGCTTCAATCAGTACGTATTGCTTTGCAACTGTAACTTAAAATGTTCAAGAACATTTGCCTGGTTTTAAGCTGCTTGCTTACAGTCATTCCAGTTGAATTGTAACCTGGGAATTTATTTATGCTCTACAGTCATCTTCATTTCAAACCCATGAATACGAGTTCCGCAGAGACATGGCGCCATTTAGCTTTAATGTTCAAAGATGCCGCAGCCTGCCAGGGCGCCTGCGGGGGAGGCGCTGCCCTCGCCCTCTGATGGCAGCCTGCTTTGCACAGCGGCCATGCTCGCCCAGGGGAGCAGTTTGGGGGACTTAGCTCCACATTGACGCTCCGATCTCTGGCACCCATTAGAGCATTTCATGGAAGATCTTCATCACTTCTTTCTCGGTTAATATCACAAAGCATGGCCATTGCTCAGTCCTAGACGATAAGCATTGTAGTCGTTATACGGTCATTTCAGAATCATTTCGCATTTTTAATTTGCAGCCAAGTCATCCGTGGGGATGGAAAATGAGGCTCTAATTGTGAGATGTCCTAGACAAGGAAGATCTAAATACCCTGTGGATTGGTATTACTCACAAACCGACCGACTCATCAGCACCCAGAAAGGAAGCCGTGTGCTTGCTGCAGGGGAAAATCTTAAGTTCCTCCCAGCCAGAGCGGAGGACTCCGGAAGCTACACCTGCATCCTCCGAAGGTAGTGCCCGTCAACTCCGACCGGAGGCTCGCTCTTTCCTTTCAGAGATGATGGCCTGGTGCCCTCACTTTCCTTCTCTTTATGGACTTTTCTGGTGCCATTGACTTTGCAAAGTGATTTGATGAAAGAGTGCTTCTAGGAACCCCCTCAGGTTGGGGTGAAGGTGGTTAAGAACTAACTACTTGGATGGGAAACTGCAGGGACTAATTTTTAGCCCAGTCTTTTCAGTTAGGAAAATCCTTGTTTTTCCTCTGACAAGAAAACTGAGACCAGCTGCTCACTTCTGCTGGAGGTGAGAGTAAGTCACACAGCAAACAGTAAGCGAGGCAGTGGGCACCGGGGCCTGTGGGTGGCACGGGAGGCATCACAGTGCCTGACACCTGACAGGTGACCAAGGAGGGATGTCAGATTGTGCGCCTACAAATTATTCTCCCTATGGACAGGCTGCTACAGGTTTTGAATGTGTGCCTATATTTGGTACAGACAGCAGTCAGATGAACTTCACCGAACTTCACAGTTTCAGCTTCTTCCCCATCACTAGTCAGCTGGATGTTTGCAGGTTGCTTCTCTGTCCCCCAATTTCCTCATCTGTGATCTACATACACAATATAAACCAGATTGAGGTAAAATTATTTCATAATGCTGAGTAACTTTTTAAATTGTTGGACTTATTTTAATAGTTCTACCTCCAATAAGACTGGACATGTGAATGTCACCATATATAAAAAACAACCAGACTGCAAAATTCCAGATGACCTGATATATTCAACAATCTCTGGAACAGAAAAAAATTCCAAAATATATTGTCCTACCATTGGCCTCTACAATTGGACAGCACCTGTTGAGTGGTTTAAGGTAAAGGAAATTTGGGGAAAATAAATGAAAATTACACAAAATAGATGGGAGTTGGGATTATTGAGAGTGGATGGCATATTGTATTTCAGAACTGTCAAGTTCTTCAAGGACCAAGATACTACAAAAGAGAGACTTATTTGCTGATTGACAATGCAACTAGCAAGGATGAGGGGTATTATACGTGCAAATTTAATCACAACGAAGACGGAGTCAGTTACAGTGTGACAACAACCAGATCCTTCGCCTTTAAGAGTAAGTGGCAGAACTCAGCACAATGGGACATTCGCGGGGGAGCGGCCCTGCTGGCTGGTGTTCGGCGCCGCCCTCCTCCTGTGGCCCCTGGTCCGCATGATCTTTGCCGTCACCACTATGGAGACTCAGAGATTCCAAAGGGAGATGGTGCTCCTCACATGAAACCACCTGCTCTTTCCTTTTCTTATTTAATTTTCAAAGATAATGTGATGGATGCTAACTTAATGTTTTTGACCACAGTACAACTATTTGAAGAGCAAGACTAACATTTTTCCCCCAATTTGTTGTCAAAGGTTCTGTAGATAGAAAATAGTCCATTAGTCTCTGATATAACTCGCTGGGCTCGAAGTTGAGTGCAGCTTTGTAAAGACACCTGGGTGTTGTCGAGTGGCTCTCAGCCCTGGTTTGCAATGCCTTCCACACCACCAAAGGCCTCAAGTAGGTCCCTTAATTACAATTCCCCCCCCCCCCCAATTTATTGTAAACACCACAAAAACCCATTCAGGGGGAAGATATCACCATCAAGAGTGTCAGGTGGACAAAGATGGTCTCCTTGGCCTGGCTTGGCCGTGGGTGTGGAGAAGCTGAACTGTGTGTGGGATTTCCTGGGGCAAAGCCACTCAGGGAAAGGCTTTGGTGGGCCCTCGGCTCCCACAGGGAAAGGGGCCACAGACCACACTCCATTAGCCGTCATGCTCACAGCCGAACCTCTGGCTCCTGGCCACGGGCCTCAGTGGCGGGGCCCAGTCTGGGGCACACAGTGGCTGGGTGCCGCCCGTGCACGGTCCCTGGGTGCAAGGCCACAGGCCCAGCACTTTCCGGGAGGCTGGGCCACGGGAGGCCCCAGCAGAGTCGGGGCTCCTGCCGAGCTCATTCTCACGGGCCTTCTGAAGGCTCCTCCCTGAAGAGTACTTTTCTGACAATTGTTAGGTCATACTATTAATTAGTGGGTTGGTTTAGGATTTGTGTAACGAGGTAGAAGAGAATAGAAAATATCAAAGAGCATAATCACCAGTAAGGGAAAATACTATTCTATCTTAAAGTTTTCTTTATTTGCATCTGTGCGAATTTCTGCCGTTGTCATCAGAAAATTTGAGAAACATTGCTATAAAATAGGATAGAAATTTGAAATGTTTTATATTGATGACCACCCAAAAGCTGTTCTAACAGTATATTCTCTTCTTGTCTTTAAGGTGAAAATGTCTTTTCAATGTTGCCAGTAATAAAAGCACCTCTTCAAAATGCAACCCAGGACGTGCAAGTCGGTAAGGAAACTCTAAGCACCCAGTAACTGTGGCCTGGAGCCCTTCCCCTGCCCCCCCCACCCCCCAGTGCCCTGAGGGTCACATGAGGGGCGGTGGCAGCCCCTGCCTGGGCTCTGGCTAAGAGTGGGGACATGTGGTCACAGCATCTACTCCTGTATCCACTCCGGCGCCGTTGTCACTTCTGCCCACGGCGGAGACTGGTCCCCTCTACACTGTGGGTATTAGGCTCAGAGGGACCGATGACATGCCTGAGGGTGTGAATATTCAGGGATAGGCCAGAACCCAGACTCCTACTCGCCATCTCCACCTTTCCTGGTCCCCCCAGAGGTGGGAGATGCAAATAAGGTTTTGCATGTAAATGTCCCGCCCGACTGGTCCTCACCCACAACCTGGCTCATCTGCAGCTATTCTCCCACGGCCACCCGTGGCTGTGACACAGACATGGGCACTTCTACTTCCGGGCCTGCTTCTGCCCATTGTTTTGCTTCTGACCTCTCAGCATGAATCTCAAAGGCACGCCTCTGCGAAGCCCCATGCCTCCCCGCGCCTGCCGACAGCAGGAGCACAGCTGTCAGGGAGCACAGCTGTCTATTTCCCTGGCAGCGGGCCTCTCCCTGCAAGACTCCTCTTGCGTCCCATGTCGCTGCAGCCTCTCTAGAGAACACCTGCATGCTCATGGCTTGTTTACACCCTGTCCCCATGGAGAGATGCTGAGCTCCTTTTATCTCTCCAGACACCTAGCTCTAGAGGCAGGAGCAGGAAGGGGGCTGGATGCATGCCCCCAGAACTCTCAGAGAGGGAGCCCTGGGCCCTGTGGGGAGGCAGCCTGCCTCAGGACTGGCCTTGGGGCTGAGGGACTAAGGCTCACATTAAAAGATTGGAAAGAAAGGGCTCTTGGACAATGAAATATTGGTATGGTAGCCAGGTCAGTAAAGCAGTTTCACTCGCCTGGAGCGAGATGAATAGAATTCAAAAGGAAGAGAAATGTGTGCGGGAGAACAGTTAAAAGGAAAATCCAGTTTACCGAGCATGGGAATAGGCCATTGTAACTAACGTGGGATTGAAGCTGGAGTCATTTGTCTCTTGGGCCTCCTCATGTGGTGAGAGTGGAAAGGGGCTGAGATCCAAGCCTACCTATGAGTGACATAAAGACTGTTGTGGGATTGAACCCTGGGTTCAAAATAAGAGCACCGGAAGCTCATGATTGATTAAAAAAAGCAGGCAAGGATTTATTGAAAAACTGGCCAGGACAGCTGCAAGAGCACCACACGCAGGTGGACTCCACAGGACCGCCCTGTTTCAGGTGCAGGCAGTCCTTCTAAAGAATCTTCCTTTGTTCTAAATTCTAAATTCTAAATTCTAAAGGCTGGGAATAGCCTGCAGGGTCCCTCCCAGTCAGATCCTGCTGGACATTGGAATGTGGCCCTATCCTGTGATAGCTGATAACACAGAAGCAGAGCTCAGTGGTTAGTCTCTAAAGGTTATCTACAGTTTCTACCCCTGAAGCTACTGAGTCAGTGGGAATCAATCTCCTGTAGTGCTAGTCCCAGACACAGGAAAATTGTCTTAGCCTCTAGGTGTCCACCTGGAAGCTGAGATAACTATCCTGTGTTTAATCAGGTGCAGGATCCAGACTAGAAGGGTTAACATTCAAACAGCAGTTTTTACCTGAGATGAATATTCTTAATGTCTTATTTCAAAGACAGTGGGGAGGGTGGCACAGACTGGGGGTTAGGGGAAGGGGAGGAGTCATCGACGTGTCTTCACATTAAATAAATACCATTTGCAGCGTTAAACTTTACTGGTGAATGTCTTCTCCTGCAGGGGAAGCAGTGAACATCACTTGCTCCGCTTGCTTTGGGAAAGGCTCGCAATTCCTGGCCGTCGTCCTATGGCAGGTCAATGGAAGAGGAGTGGAGAACTCGAGTGAAGCAAGAATTTGGGAGGAGCAAGAGCAAAATCAAAGGTATTTTCATATTGAAGTCAAAACACCCCCTTGGCCTCCTACACAATTGCAACTGTAAAACAGCATTGAAGGTAACCACTTGCCTTCTCAGTTCCAGCAACGAGCTGGCCTGTCTGAGCTCCGTCCTGAGAATAGCAGATGTGAGAGAAGAGGATTTGTTGCTGAAGTACAACTGCCTGGCTCTGAATCTGCATGGCGTGAGAAGTCACACGCTAAGGCTCAAGAGGAGAAAGCCAAGTAAGAAGTGTTTCTGAGATGCTGTCACCAGCCTGTTGCACCGGCGGTGAGCTGAGAGCGAGCTTTCTTAGAGAGCAGGTGCTGCAGGTGGGTCTGGCCCGCAGGACAGCACCAGCCTCCCAGCCAAGGCGCTTCTCCTCTCGAGCACCAGACCCTGCAGTCAGGCCACCTCCCAATGTGTCTGGCAGCCTCTCCACCACTTTACCTCCTGCTTCTACCTCTCCCCTCCCCTGCTCTCTTCTGCCTTCCCACTCCTCCCTCTGCTCTGGTCCCATTCCCCTGTTGGTTCCACACCAGCGTCTTCCTTGGACCTCCTGCTTCCAGCCTCCACAGCCCTCTCTGGCCCACTGTGTCGGAAAGAAGACAGCAATCTGTGAACATGTTCTTCTGCTACCTTTTATAACATATCATAAACACAGTCCCTTTTATAATGCATTTTTTTTGTCATAAAAAGCACACATTTTGTTAGTGGAGCTGGCAACGTGGATGAAATGGTGAATTACTTAATTTCTGTTCATTCCTGTAAGAAAATTGTGTTCCTAAGCGTTGCTTATGTTGCCATTTTAGGAATGTTCTCTGGAAACTGGGGCTAGAACTGCTTTCATGTTACATGTACCTGGTGTTTTGTTCCTTCTAGTTTCTCTGTATTTGGTACCTTTCTGTTTCTTCAAATCAACATGGTTATGTTCTATCTCAACAACTGTGTAAATTAAAAATTGATGCTATTGTTGTACGATCATGACCAATTCCTTTATTTCTCACCCTATATAATAAAGAGGAAATATGCAAATTGACCTTCACAGCCTAACATAAAATGGCCATCCCCATGTAGTCAAAGATGGCCAACACAAGATGGCTGGCAGGGGAGGGCAGTTAAAGGGCAACCAGGCTAGCAGGGAAGGGAAGTTGGGGGCAACCAGCCATAAGGAGAGGGCAGTTAGGGTGACCAAGCTGTCAGGGGAGGGCAGTTGGGGGGGAACCAGGCCTGCAGGGGAGGGCAGTTAGGGGAGACAGGGCTTGCAGGAGAGGGCAATTGGGGACAACTGTGCTGGCAGGGGAGGGCAGTTGGGGGCAATTGGACTGGCAGGGGAGTGTTTAGAGGGTGATCAGGCTGGCAGGCAGACAAGTGGTTGGAAGCCAGTAGTCCTGGATTGTGAGAGAGATGGGCCTAAACCAGCAGTTGGACATCCCTGAGGGGTTCCAGATTGGAGAGGGTGCAGACTGGGATGAGGGACACTCATCCCAGTGCATAAATTTTGTGCACCAAGCCTCTAATCATAGAATAGAAGGAATTACAGCATTGTTTTTAATTTTAAAAACAAAAACTTAAAAGGTCTGTATCCCCATATTATTAAATATTATTCAACTAGAGGCATCGTGATATGCTTCTGGTGTTTTGGGGGGGTGGATGAGAAGGGTTAACAAAATTATATGAGTTTAAGGTGCATAATTCTCCAGTACATCATCTGTACACTGTACCCTGTGTTCACCACCCCCAGTCAAGTCTCTGTCCATCACCTTTTATCCCTCTTACCCTAATCCCTCTCCCTGCAGCCCCCTCCCCTGGCAATCACCACACTGTTGTCCATGTCCATGAATTTTCTTTTTTCCTTTTTGCTCAATCTCTCCCCTCCACACACTCTGTTCCACCTCATCCCAACAGCTGTCACCTTCTCTCGATAAGTCTGTCTCTATTTTGCTTGTTAGCTTATTTTATTCATTAGAGTCCACATCGGAGTGAAGTCCATTGTGCTTGTCTTCCTCAGTTTGCCTTGGTCATTCTTGGTCTCAGTGCTGGGTGCTCAGGAAGTGGTGATCAATTAATTGAAGGGAATTTTTAATATGGGCCTGTGCTTTTCCTTTTCAACCTGGGAGCTCATGCTTTGAGATTTAAGATGAAAATCAGAGGAGAACTATATAATCAATTCTCATTTGATATTCTTCTCCTGTGCATCACTAAATGGAGTCATTTGCAAAACATGGTAGTTAGCAGTTCCAGAGGGGAAAGTAAATCTGAACAGCACCAAGACCATCAATGGTCACAGCTCTTACGCTCCGTTTGCACATACCTGTCACAAGTCCTTAAAGACGAAGACCACCATGCATGTATTTTGTGGGGCAGTGAGTGCAGGACACAGTTCAGCGATGGCTACGTAATGTACACCATAGAGAGGTAAGGGGTCTGGGTGGGACCTGGAGCCCAGAGCTTTGACTTCTCCCCAAGAAAGTTTAGAGGCTGACATGGCTCTCGCTTCTTCCCACTTCTCCAGGCCACCACTCCACATTCAGAAATCTCCAAGACCTGCTGATGCTTTCTCCTTAATGCCCCCACACTGGGCTTGTCCACTCCTTTCTCACTATTGCACGGTTAGAGTCCTCCTCACCGCTTACTCCGAGCTGCAGACACTTCCTGCCCACTCTCCTCCGAGTTTCTTTCCACAGAAACAAGCCTTCCACTGCCATCAAATTAATTCTGCTTGGAAGTCACGTTCATTGCTAACACATCACCCAACAATCTGCATTGGCTCCTTTGACCTTCAGAATAAAGGCAAAATGCCTTAGCCGTAGTCTGGACCCTTATCCTATCTTCATTCCCCAACCTGGATTACTCCTGTTCCTCAGGAAACACACTCCCAGCCCTGCCCTGGTGCTCACTGCGCTGTCTCTTGCCAGGAGCAATACAGCTCTTTTTGCAGCGATCCCCATCTCGCCTCCTTCAGGGCCCCTCCTGCAGGAAGTCTTCATTCCCAGTCCACGGAGTGCGCACTCCTTTCGAAAGCATCTGAGTTACAACCAGGCTTTTATCCCCCACCGTAGTTACGTTTGCGTGCCACGTGTCTCTGTGCCTCATACACTCCTTTCCACAATAATGTTTGTCCTCCCCTATCTTCTGAATAGTTGATCATCAGAGCACCTACTACATGCTTGCTGGATTTGGCATACTGTTAATGCTGGTTTATGTCATGATGATAATGCTGAAAGTGTTCTGGATCGAGCTTATTCTTCTCTGGAGGGACATAGCGAGGCCTTACAAAGCTAGGAACGGTGAGTGGCAAGTTTTGAGTTCTTTAAAAAAAAAGGTACCTAATGGCTCTTTGGCACTTGTGTCTTACTCTCTTATGGCGGTGGTGCAAATCCAGCTTTCCTTTTGATTAGCAGCATGTACTTCGCAAACTTTGCTGAGTCCACTCAGAAGCCATTCTTCATCCTGCCTGTCACACCTGTGGTTCTAAGATGCAACTTAACAATTCAGACTGCCTCCCCAAAGATTGCCTTTCCTACTGAAGCCCCGTGACGGCCTCTGCCCAAAGCCCAGAAAGGCTTACACATTTTGGAAAACATTGTGGAATTTAAGCCTTATCTAAATTTCTCCTGTTCCCAGACGTGCAGAGGCCAGACAGGTCCACCGGCGCTCAGGGCCCTGCTGCTGGGTCTGGCCAAGACCTGGAGTGCACACAGGAAAGCAGACAGCTCGCCACCGAAGTGAATTGGGCTTCAGCTCGTCCATCGGGCCACTCCACGCGGGCTGCTTGCTGGAGCTGTGGGAAACTCGGTTCCCTTAAACCTTTACTCCCTGGCCACATTAGCCTTTAGCAATCCTACTTCCCCAGGGGGAGCACCAGGCAAACAAAAGATAAGATGGAGCTCTGACAGCACAGCTACCTCATCCATGACTATCCATGCTTGTTAACAGAGTACTGATTAAATGTGACAATGCAGTTTGACCAAAACTGCCAACCTCTTGTCGGTTCTCTCTCATTCAGTCTGGACAGTAAAAAGGAGAACTTTGGAATTAAGATTGATTTTCTGATGACACTTGTGGCAGTATACTGTTGTCATCTAGATTCTACAATATTTTGGGGTGTTGGATACATTCATCAATAACCATAAAACTTGCTGGTGAATACTAATTTCTTAGAATCAAATAATAAAATTGTACTTTTTGCTCTCATTTTCAGATGGAAAGATCTATGATGCTTATGTTATCTATCCACGGACCCACAAAGATAGTTCGGAGGGGACCTCTTCTGTAGAGTACTTTGTTCATCACATTCTGCCTGATGTTCTTGAAAATAAATGTGGCTATAACTTATGCATTTATGGGCGAGATCTGCTACCTGGAGAAGGTAACACTACAACATACATGTAGGACAGCAATGCACCGCCTCAGAAGGCTCAGGGGGGGGGGGGGTCTCATCCTTCCAGCGGATACAGACTCAGGGTCACTATTCCAGGCCTGATCAGAGGAAGGAGATGCTTTTTCTTGCTTCCTCCTGCCTCGGTCAGGGAGGCACCAGCACAGGTCCTGCCCCCTGGGGGATGCTGCCAGGGTAGCTGCCCTTCTCTCGGCTGGAGCAGGGCTCCTGTCCCGGCCGTTACACTCCTCGGCTGCTTTCTCATAACCGCTTCCTTCCTCACACACTGGAGGGTGCAATCGCTCCCTGATATCGCCCGTTCTGAGGGTCTGCCCACCTCTCATGGATTTCCCTGGCTCTGCCCCCACAACTCTTTCATCAGTCCTTCTGAGTGTGCCGTGTTTTCTGTTAGGATCCTGACTGGCCCAAGGTCTCTGTCTGGCTCTATTAAACATGCCCTTCCTTATTTCAGACCCAGTAAATTGCAGTCTCTCAGCCACCATTCTGGGGAATACGTGGAGTGGTTTTGCCCCTGGCAGGGCTTTCTTAACCTGCATCACATTGGCAGTGAGAACTGGGCCCACCCAGATGTGGACCTGTCTTCCTAAAGATCCTTCTCATTGGGTCACATCATTTCTAAAACAGGGAGCACGGGCTGGAGTGGGGCCAGGACTTCCTGGAGTCTTTAGTCATCAGAGGCACAAGGGCTCCCGAGTTTGCACTCTTTTTTTCTTTTGATCCTCACAGAGGATATGTTTCCATTGATTTTTTTTTCCTTTGAGAGAGAGAGAGAGAGAGAGAGAGAGAGAGAGAGAGAGAAACATGATGTGAGAGAGAAACATGATGTGAGAGAGAAACATTGACCTCCCATATTGGCCCTGACTGGGCATAGCATCTGCAACCCAGGCATGCGCCCTGACTGGAAATGCAACCAGCAGCCTTGTTGTAGGATATGGTCCTCCAACCAGCTGCGCCACTGGCCAGACCTGCGTTTGCACTCCTTAACAGGGAGTGAAACTTCTAATCTCTATCAAAACATGTAAACGAAAGAGCCTGAATTCTTAGGACTGAGCCACCTGGGGGAGGAGGGCGGGTGAAAGCTCCGCCAGCACAGGCCTCTCCCCAGGGGACTGGGGGCCGGCTCTCACACAAAGGATGGCTCTCTTCAGGTCAGAACACTGCTGACCAGAGCATTAGCCGCGAGAGCAGAACGCAGACAGGCAACCTTCTCCACGTCTTTCCTCACCAGACGTGGCCACGGCGGTGGAGACCAACCTCCGACGCAGCCGGCGGCACATCTTCGTCCTGACGCCGGACAGCCCGGAGCCGGCCTACGAGCAGGAGGCGGCGCTGCACAGCGCCCTGGTGCGGGGCGACGCCAAGGCCATCCTCATCGAGGTGCCAGGGCCCGGCGGGCGCGGCCTGCAGCCCGCCGCGCTGCCCCAAGCCCTGCAGCACCTGGTGCGGGTGCAGGGCACCCTCCGCTGGAGGGAGGACCACGTGGCCAACAAGCGCTCCCTCAACTCCCGGTTCTGGAAGCGCGTGCGCTACCACATGCCGGTGCCCAGCAAACCTCCGGGGGCGGCCTCCTCCGAAGGGGGGACCTTCCCCCCGGCGGGGGCGCCCCCTCGGCTCCCCGCGGGCCGCAGCACTAGTGCGCATGTGCAGAGCGCGCCTGGCGCGCAGCGGGGCGGGGGAGGGCGGAGGGGGTGTCCTCAGCTTCCCTCCTCCTGATCCTGGGCCGTACCAATGCTTCCAGAGGTTTCCTCCCGCCCCTCTCGCACCGCCTCTCCCTCTCTCCTTGGCTGGGGGTCTCTTCACTGTGCCCGTCCTCTTTCTGTCTGCCTCTCCTAAGTCCTCGTCCATTTCCTACATTTGAACATCAGCTGAGTCTCAGAGTTAAATTTATGTAAGCTGGAAGAACACTCAGATTCCCTTGTGCAGAACGTTATTAATAAATTTTCTTTCCACATGACAGAATCCTATCTAATAAAAGAGTAATATGCAGATTGACCATCACTCCAACACACAAGATGGCTGCCCCCATGTGGTCAAAGATCCTGCCCCCATGTGCACATAAAATGGCCACCACAAGATGGCCAGCAGGGGAGGGCAGTTGGGAGGCACCAGGCCTGCAAAGGAGGGCAGTTAGGGATGATCAACCCTGCAGGGGAGGGCAGTTAGGGGTGACCAGGCTGACAGAAGAGGGCAGTTGAGGGCAATCAGGCCAGTAGGGGAGCAGTTAGACATCAATCAGGCTGGAAGGGGAGTGGTAAGGGGGTGATCAGCCTGGCAGGCAGAAGCGGTTAGGGGCAATCAGCAAGGCAGGCAGACGAGCACTTGGGAGCCAGCAGTCCTGGATTGTGAGAAGGATGTCCCAGATCAGAGAGGGTGCAGTCTGGGCTGAGGAACAACCCTTCCCTGTGCACAAATTTTGTGCACGGTGCCTCTAGTTTATTATGTTTCATTTGATCGAAGCTTAGTTTTATCATTTCATCATTGCCTAATGTGTTAGACTACCTTACCCAATTGCCATTATAATCAAACTAGTAGCCCTGAAGATGAATCTGCATCAGTAGCTCACTTTCACCCTCCAGGAGCTCTCTGCCTGCTGCCCTGCCTTCTGAGCAGCTCCCTCTCCCCCTCATAGCTTGCTGCCCTGCCCCCTCTTGTAGCTCTCTACTGCCCACTTGTAGCTCAATGCCCCACCCTCCTGCTGATCCGCCATCTGGTCATTACACAGTCGGTCGTTATGCTTCATGGTGTAATGACCATTTGCAATTACATTTTTATTATATAGGATTCTTTTCAGCTCTAAAATGTCTTTCATAGCCCTAGCTGGTTTGTCTCAGTGGATAGAGTGTAAGCGTGTGGACTGAAGGGTCCTCAGTTCGACTCCAGTCAAGGGCACATGCCTAGGATGTGGGCTCAGTCCCCATTAGGGGGCGTGCAGGAAGCAACCAATCAATGATTCTCTCTCATCATTGATGTTTCTATCTCTCTCACCCACTTCCTTCTTCTCTGAAATCAATAAATATATATTAAAAAATAAGTATAATTTCTTTCACATATTGCTATGTCTATAAAAATAGAACAGTAAGTATAAAAGAAGAAAATAAATAAAAATAATTCATAGAGCTATTATTCTAAAATTATGTATTTGCTTTAAAAAGTGAATTCATACTTAAACATACCATTTATATAGCTAAGATTACTTTTCATATTTTTTCAACTTCACATCATAATCAAAGTACTTGAAATGTCATTTAAATTTTAACATTTTAAAGTATTCATAGTGTAAATATATGACTTGTGTCCAATATAAATAGCCATCATTACAATAATTCTGCAATGACCATATCAGTATGTCTTATATCTTTTATTTATTTTTTAAATAAATCTTTATTGTTCAGATTATTGCAATTGTTTTTCTCTGGTCCCCCTTCCATAGCTCCCTTCTACCTGGTCCCCATTCCACCCTCTGCCCTTATCTCCTTCCCCCATCCCCCGTTGTCCTCATCCATAGGTATATGATTTGTGTCCAGTCTCTTCCTGTACACCTCACAAAGACACCCTTTTCCCCTTGATAATTATCAATCCCCTCCTATTCTATGCCCCTGATCCTATTATATTCACCAGTTTATTCTGTTCCTCATATTTTTAATTCACTTGACTTTTTTCACTTGTTGATAGATATGTATTTGTTGTTCATAATTTTTATCTTTACTTTTTTCTCCCTTTTCCTCTTTTTAAATAACACTTTTTAGCATTTCATATAATACTGGTTTGGTGGTGATGTACTCCTTTAGCTTTTTCTGATCTATGAAGCTTTTCATATGTCCTTCAATTCTGAATGATAACTTTGCTGGGTAGAGTAATCTTGGTTGTAGGTTCTTGCTATTAATCACTTTGAATATTTCTTGCCACTCCCGTCTGGCCTGCATAGTTTCTGTTGAGAAATCAGCTGATAATTGTATGGGTACTCCCTTATAGGTAACTAACTGTTTTTCTCTTGCTGCTTTAAGATTCTCTTTTTGTCTTTTGCTCTTGGCATTTTAATTATGATGTGTCTTGGTGTGATCCTCTTTGGATTCCTTTTGTTTGGGGTTCTGTGCCCTTCTGGACTTGTAAGTCTATTTCTTTCACCATGTGGGAGAAGTTTTCTGACATTATTTCTTCAAATAGGTTTTCAGTGTCTTGCTCTCTCTCTTCTTCTGGCACCCTCATAATTCTGATGTTGGTATGCTTGAAGTTGTCCCAGAGGTTTCTTACACTATCTTCAACTTTCTGGATTCTCCTCTCTTCTTGCTTCTCTGGAAGAGTGTCCTTTGCCTCTTTGTATTCCAAATCTTTGACTTGATTCTGCGATCTTCTAGTCTGCTGTTGGGTCTTTGTATAATATTTTCTATTCCAGTCAGTTTATGTTTAATTTCTAGTTGGTTTAATTTCTTTTTTGTATTCTAGAGAGTCTCGCTTAATTTATCAGCCTTTTGTAGGAAATTCTTAAAAACAAAAACAAAACAAACAAACAAACAAACAAACAAAAAACAACCTATAACCATGGTTTTGAACTCTATATCCAGTCTTTTGTTCTCCTCCATTTCTTTTGTATGAGATCTCCTTCCTTTCTTGGCATTTTCGCTGCTTCCCTGAGATGGTAGAGTAGCTTTGTGGGCTGGATGTCCTTTATGGTTCAATGGGTCAGCCTTCTAGTTGCCTGATGTGGACATTCTTGGTGCACCCCTTTGTGGACTGTGTGTACAGCCTTGTTGTAGTTAAGTCTTGATTGTTGTTGGTGTCACTGGGAGGAATTGACCTCCAGGCTAATTGGCTGTGAGGACCTGCTGTGTCTATAATGGAATAATTGCTGTGCTGGAGACATGTTTATGGGGAGGACTTGTTCCTGTAAGGCTTTGGTGCTCACTGAGTCTGCCTCTTGAATGTGTCCCTTATGAGAGTAGTTGAAATCTGGTGTCATCTCACACTGACCACTAGATACACTAGTTTCTGGATCTCCAATGGGGTGCAGGTCAGGTACTGTCCTAGGCCACCCTGTAGGAGCTACAGCAAGAACCACAGTCCTCTCCTCCCTGCTTGGAGCTTGGAAGCTTTGGAGCTATCTGCACCAGGTTGCAAGTTTGCTAGGCTAAACTGCAATAAAGAAAGCCATTCATATGCAAAAGCCGCTGCTTGGAGCTTGGGTGTGTTTGTAGATTGTGCAGGACAGAGTCTCAGGGTGGAATCTCAGGGTGTCTCTAGGCTAGAGTGTGGCAAACAGCAATGGCTGCCAGTCAGCCTTCTCTGCCTCTCTGAGTGTGTCCCTGCTCAGCACAGCAATTATTCTTGCACACAGCTCTGCAAGCAAGCCACCCTCACTTTCAGACCTGATGGCAGACAGTCCCGCCTCTTTCCAGAAACAGGATTTCAGAGAAATTGGAAGCTTGTCTCTCTTCAGGTTGAAGAAAGCAACGCCCTCCGCCAGCTGGGATCCACTGCCAGCCCGTATCATGCTCGTGCCCCTGTACCTCAGTTTTTCAGCGCTTGTGCCCTGAACGCTCCTTTCTCTTTCAGTCTAGTTGTAGAGCTTCCTTTCAGCCAGTTTTCCCTGATTCTGGGTGATAAACGTTTTGTTTTTAGTTGTAGTTTTGAAATTGTTGTGCACGGCAGCAGTTTAGGTGTGTTTACCTAAGCTTCCATCTTGGATCTTCAGATAATATTTATTATCTGTCTTATATCTTTTACTTTAAAAAGACCTTTTAATTTAAGAAACTCTACTTGTAGCAGGCCCCAAACCCAGGCAGATTGCCCGCGGCTGGGAGGCCTGCCGGGTACAGGTTGGCGAGGGATGGCGCTTCTGCCTGCAGTGGAGCTGCTGAGTGAAGGGTATGAGTTTTATTTAGCTGCACACACCTTCCCCCAAATAAAAACAAACCAACAGGGACTGCGCTTCTGCCAGGAAGTGCAGTCTCGAACTCGCTCCATTGAGCCCTTGCAAAATCTCACCCATAAAGAAACCCTATGTCTGGAAAGTCGCCTAGAGGAACTCTAGCTACCCATCCTCCGGGTACCCGACAGCTACCTGTCCCTCTAGATACCTGTCCTCCAGGTACCCTACAGCTGCCCGTCTTTCTAGATACCTGTAATAAATACCCTACAGCTACCCATCCCCCTAGATATCCTATAATAAACACCCTACAGCTACCCGTCTCTCTAGATACCTGTAATAAACACCCTACAGCTACCCATCCTCTAGGTATCCTACCCTGTGACTCTTTGGATTAAGGTTGCCAGATAAAGTGAAAGTTGAATTCAGAGGATGAAATATCATCTGAAATTGATTTGAAATTAAAATTTACTTGGACATCTGGTATCTTTATTTCTTAAATCTGCTTACCCTACTCTGTAGATTATTGTACTTTTATGTGGTAACTTCTGTGTGGGGGGGTTTTTTTTGTTTGTTTTTTTAATTACTAAAAAGTTAGCCAGTGAAAAGAATGGGTATAGTTGATTAACATCACACAATTTGGAATCAACCAGTCATCCTCCATTACCTGCCAGCTGTGTAACCATGAGCAAGTGAACTCTCTAAAATCATGAACAAGTTAGGTAAATGAGAATAATCATACCAAATCCCTTTGCATTCTGAACTAATCAAATGAAAAGAAAAGTACTGGCATTTGGACGACAGTAAGAATTCAAAAGTGGCAGCAGTGGTGAGGACACATCCCTGTGCT